CCCCTCCCTATCTCTGTAACCTCCTCTAGCCCCTACACCCCTCCCTAGCTCTGTAACCTCCCCCAGGCCCTATACTGCTCCCTCTCTCTCTATACCCTCCTGCCATTACACACTCTTCTCTATCTCTGTAACCTCATCCACCTGCCATCCCACTCCATATCATTGTAATTTCCTCCAGCCCTGCACCAGCGCTGTAACCTCCTAAAACCCCTACTCTCCTCCCTATGTCTGGAACATCCTGCAGCTCAAAACCGATCCCTATCTGTGTAACCACCTGCAGTTCCACACCCTTCCCTATCTCTGTCACCTCCTACAGCACCTACACCCCTCCCTATCTCTGTCACCTCCTACAGCACCTATACCCCTCCCTATCTCTGTAACCTCCTACAGCAGAACACCCCCTGTCTCCTATGTAACCTCCTCTAGCCCCTACTCCGCTCCCTATCTCTGTAACCTCCTCCAGCCCCTACACCCCTCCCTATCTCTGTCACCTCCAACAGCAGAACACATCCCCTTCTCTGTAAACTCCTCAAGCTCCTACACCCCTCCCTATCTCTGTAACTTCCTCTGGTCCCTACACCCCTGCCTATCTCTGTAACCTCCTCCAACCCCCACACCCCCCCCCGCCTTCTCTGTAACCTCCTCCAGCCCCAAACACCCCTCCCTATCTCTGTCACCTCCTACAGCTGAACACACCCCGCCCTTCTCTGTAATCTTCTCAATCCCCAACTCCCCTCCCTATCTCTGTAACCTCCTACAGCCCCTACACCCCCTCCCTATCTCTGTAACCTCCTCGAGCCCCTACATCCCCTCCCTATCTCTGTAACCCCCTCCATCCCCTACTCCCCACTGTGTCATTGTAACCTGCACCGGCTCATACACCCCTCCCTATCTCCGTAACATCCTCCAACCTGTACACCCCTCCGTATCTCAGTAAACCCCTCTCGCCTCTACACCCCTCCCTATCTCTGTACCCTCCTAAAGCACCTACACGCCTCGCTCTCTCTGTAACCTCCTCCAGCCCCTACACCCCCTCCCTATCTCTGTAACCTCCTCCAGCCCCTACACCCCCTTCGTATCTCTGTAACCACCTCCAGCCCCTACACCACTCCCTATCTCTGTACCCTGCTCTGGCCCCTACACCCACTCCCGATCTCTGTAACTTCCTCCAGCTCTGCTCCATTGAGAGTCATTAATCCAATCTCTGTACAGGGAGGTGTTGTGGCGTTCAGATGTTATTGTTAGAACATCAATCTGGAGACCCCCCGCTATGTTCTGGGTTCCCTGGTTCGAATCTCGCCACACCGGATGGTGAAAGTTGAATGGAA